GGGTGACTTTTGCGATCTGATCTGCAATTACAAAACTTCATTAAAATGAACTTAGTTTAATCTGGTTATAAGTAATTAAGCAGTTAATATACAGGTCAAACAAAGTTAATCAACTTAGGATGTAAATAGTTGATTCTGAGTAGCTGATATCAGTACATATTGCTTGTAATTATATAAGAGCACCGGTTGATTGTAATTGTAATTTATTTTCATAATAAAAGTGATCAAACAAAAACAATCGGCAGTTATTGCCAAACAAGAAACGATTTTTTTCCAACTTGCTTGCAAACACAAACACGAATCAGGGTTAATTTCTGCAGCTGTAGATGAAATTGACCATTAGTTGCCCATGTTCACTTCCACTATAATGAGAGTCATGGATGTAAATAAGGCAATCCAGTAAACTTTGTGGTGTCAATCCACATACATATTACAAAAAACTCGCTGGTGTTACTTTACTCGGGCCCTTTACAATTTTTTTACCATTTAATTAATAAAACTAAAAGTTTAGCAGTCGGAAGTCGAAGATGGCATTGAATAATTAGCAAATATCCTCTACATAATTTTAATTTTGCTAGTATAGACTGGTGAAACTAAGTAAAACATATGTACGTAGGGTTTTACTATTTTCGATTGCGCAGCTGATTATGATTATTGTTTCGAACTTAAATAGCAATCAAAAATTTCCACTGAACATCAGTAAATTGTATTCACAAAGCTGAAAAGCTGTCATAAACATATATCCAGAAATTTACCTTAGATATTTACATTAACTTCAATATATAAATTGTCTATTATTGCGTGATAACAAAGAAAGAACGGGTCTGGGAGTTTATTTAACGGGATATAGGCGAGCCCATTAACTATTCAAACATCTCCACCCGAGCCCTGGTATCAGGCTATAATGGGCATAAGCCCGTCTTGTAACCGTAACACCTGTATAAGTGTGATAATAAGCTGCGCATGGTAATAGCAGTTTATTGCAAATGTGTTAAATGACTGAGGAAATATTACAGAATGTGCGATTGTTTAAGTGTGTACGTACGTGCACGTCTAACATTCAAGATTCATTATATGAATAACACAAATATGTATCCGCATTATTTTTACAAGGTGAGCAGTGGTAGCCAAATATGGAAGTCGTGAAATAGAACATATCTCGAACATAACTTACAACATCAGATTGTTTCTCTTATTTTTTTTATTTTATCTAACTGTAGTATTGTAGTTCTTTTTATGTTCAGAGGCAATTTTTTTATTTTGTGAACAATCAGGCGAATCTGGTCAGAAAATACACAGCTTCAATTACACGGATTTAGTATATTCTTTTATAATTTATTTTAAAGCAGATTATCTTTTTAGGCTGATTATATTTCACTAGAAAGATTAAACTAGATCTATTGATAGACATTTTGGTAGAAATAATTTATTCTATGTAGCTAATATTAATGCGCATTGCTTGTATTTAAAAGCGAATAAATACAAAAAACACCAGAAAAAAAGGTGTCAGGTAATTAATGTTGCCAATAAAAGTGACACAGGTAGAAATTATATTAGCTGTGATAATCAAATAGTATATTTCCCCCATATACTATCATTAAATATATATA